TGGGGATTTGGGCCTGGATATGTATCTCTGGGGGCCATGATCCAGCCTACTATGATAACAATGGCTGACTGGGTGTAGTGGCACACGCCTGTAATCCCAGCACTTTGGGAAGCCTAGGTGAAAGGATTCCTTGAGCCCAGCAGTTCAAAACCAGCCCGGGCAACAAAGCAAGACCTTGTCTCTACAAATAATAATAATAGTAAAATAAATTAGCTGGGCATGGTGGTATATACCTGTAGTCTCAGCTATTCAGGAGGCTGCGATGGGAGGCTCTCTTGAGCCCGGGAGTTCGAGGTTGCAGCGAGCTGTGGTTGCAGCACTGCACTGCAGCCTGGGTGATAGAGCCAGGCCCTATTGCTAAAATAATAATAATAAGAGCTGAAAATAAAGAGCTAATAGTCATCGCATGTTTACTGTATGCCCAGTACTCTTGGAGCTTCACGAGTGCTGATCATAGCATTGGTAGTGCTATGAGAGAGAAACGTTATCATCATTCCCACTTCTCAGGTCAGAACTCTGAGGCTTAGTAAGCAGCAGCGCCAGGATTTGAATCCAGGCTGTCGAGACCCTGAACCCATGCGACTAACCTTATGACACCTGTAAGGCCGTGGTGGTCATCCGAGTCCCGAGTTGAGGGGAGTGTGGCCAGGCAGCTTCACAGGAAACCTCATCATGAGCTTCAGACAGACGCAGCCCAGTTGTCCCAGCACTGGTGGAGACCCTTCCTCATTGGCCCCTGGACACCTGCGGGCTGGGAAGGTGGGAGGCCCAGCCCCTGCCTCACTCCAGCTTCGCTCAGTGCCCACAGCTTTGTGGTCTCTGCTCCAGCAGACTGCTGCATGTCTCACAGCTCCATTACTGTCAGCTCCTCTGATTCGGGAGCGCTGTACCTCGTTAATGTATTATTTATTTTATTACCTTATTGTGGAAGTTGTTGTTTATAATTTGCTATTCTATATAATGGCCTTCTAATGCACACACTGCTAAATAATTAAAAAATGTCTTGCCACCACTCCTCAGGAGCCCAGTTCCTTCGCCCTACTAACGAGGCCCACTGTTTAAGCCCAGTCTGTGGTGCTCATTTACTGTAGAGCATCCTGGTGAAGTGAGGGTCCCCAGATGTTTGCCAGACCAGGGTGGCCAGGGTTACTGGGAACTGGAATTGGCGTGCTGCCCATCCCTTCCACATGTAGGGCAGAGAACTTGTGAGATAGACTAGATCCTAGCCCCCAAAGATGCCCACCTCCTCATCCCAGGAACCTGTGAGTATGTCACCTTACATGGCAAAAGGGACTTTGCCAATGGGATTAAGGGAAAGATCTTGAGTTAGGAGATGCTCCTGGATGATCTTGGGTGTGCCCTAAGTATAATCCTAAGTGTCCTTGTAAGAGGGAGGATCAGAGGAGAGAGGAGAAGGTGCTGTAATAACAGAGGCAGAGAGCAGTCTGATAGTCCCTGTTTGGCTTTGAAGATGAAAGAAGAGGCCACAAACCAAGGAATCCAGGCAGCCTCTGCAAGGTGGAAAAGGTAGGAAACCAGTCTCCTGAGAGGCTTCAGAAGGAACCAGCATTTCTGCACTTGATTTTCACCTTGTAAGACCCAATCTCTGACTTCTAGAACTGTCAGAGAATGAATTTGTGTTATTGAAAGCCACTAAACGTGTCATGATTTATTATAGTCACAAGAGGAGACTAGCGCAGCATGTCACATGCATCCACCAGTGCAGGGCAGGCACCAAGGGAGGTCAGGCTCAGGTTTAGGTTCTACAGGCAGAGGGCTGAAGGGAAGGCCACACGGTGACTTGTGAACACGGACCACAGCACCCACTCGCACTGAGTCCAGCCTGGCAAAGTCCAGTCCGGATTCCCAAGCCTTGGCCAAATGAGGCTGGCAGGCAAACAAAACCCACCGAAAACCCAGATCTTCACAGCAGCGAATGGGCTCCACGTCCTCTCCTGCCGAGCTTTCAGCGGGTGATACTTAACAACCACTTGCTCATAGTAGCACACGTTTTAGGGGGAGCAAAGTCCCCCCATCCCAATCGGACTTGAGAGTTAGGCACAACAGGTTTACAGTCCTAACAGACAAGAAAAGCAAGCCTCAGAGAGGTAAAAGAGCTCATTCCAGAGAGTTCAGCAAGTCGGGAGCAAACCTGGGACCCCTGTACCCCCACCACCGCTTGGGAGACAGAGCTGTGTGCCTTGCTTGGATGCATTTTCTTTCCTCTTTCTGGGGGTGCTAATTCACCCTGCCAGGCAGCAGGAACAGAACAGTCAAGGCTGAAAGGTCCGAACAGGTCCCTAATTTAATAATTGCTATCTGAATAATTGATGGCTTGTCCTCATGAGCTATCGGTTGGGGGCAAATGTCTGTTCCTTTCCAATCTGGAATCCAGTCTCTGGTCAGCCGGTGAGTCACCAGCGAAGATTAAGTGCCACCCACAGCGCCACATGCCGGGCCCAGGAGAAAATGACACATGCTGTGGTCTAGTTCCTGGCCCTGGGAACTCCGCGTCTGCCCGGGTAGCCAGCCCAGAGCTGGGAAAGCCAGAATCAAGAAGCAGACACCATAAAGTTTTTTGGTTTTTTTTTTTTTTTTGCCTCACTTTCTCCTGTCATCTCTCAGTTCATGGCTTATTTGGGGGAACGGACAGGAGAGAACATTAAGGCAGACATGATTTATGAAGAAATGAGCCAGGGCCCTCCACCGCCCCTCCCCACCATGGCCACACAGTAGGTCTGTCGGGGAAGAGCCTCCTACTCACTAATGGAATTCTCCCCTTGAAAGTCATGATCCTGAACACAAAATGCGGCGAATCTCTGAATGCATAGCTGTGGGAAGTAGTAAAGTTCCTCTTTAAAGGTTCCTTTCTTGTTAAAGAATAAGCGTGCTAATAACTCTTTGTTAAGCCCTATCTTCTGTAGCTGTTAGACATGCCGTGCTTATAGGCACATAGTACATCCTATGTCCTTGTACTTTAACCAGTATATTTGTGCTGAACATGCTCACAGGCCTGTCCCAGCTCTCCATTGCTTTTCCCAGTTCAGAAAAGTTTTAAGTTGTTAGCCAATTGTCTATTAGTTTAGATTGTGAGGTCTGGCTCCAGCCAATGGAGATCAGACACAGCAGTAAGGACGACCCCAGATGCATAAGGGATAAATTTGCGTGTATCCCTTTGTTCTTTGTACTGCCATGGCACGATGGCTACTGGGAGTACCCTTCCTGCAGTCCAGGAAGTAAAACTTGCATGCTGAAAGATCCTTTGTCTCAGTGCTGATTTCATTTTGCGGCACCGAGCATCTGTTTCCAACACACAGTAAGGCAGGTGTAAGTGGGTGTGGTCCCGCCACACAGCGAGGGTCCCACCTCTGCCAGGGCATCTGCCAGGGCATCACTGCCATGGCATGTGGTTGCCATATCCCTAGGGTTATATTATGGGTTTGCATCTATCCTGGCCTTCCTTGGCTCATCCAAGAACATGCACTGAGGACCTGCATGCTGCCAGGCCCAGCTGAGAACCACACCCCTGAGCGACCATGAAGGAGCTCAAGCTCTGCATTGGAAAACTGACAGCAGCTGACAGCAGCAGGATGAGTTCCCCTGTGAGGGTAGAGGGAAGCTCAAAGGGCTGAGTGCAGAAAGAGGACCCACGCATCCAGAAAGGCTTCTGGAAATGTGACCCCTGCTCCCAGTCCTGAGAGTTGGAAGGTCTCTCTTTTTAATGAGAAACCCAGAAGTAAGAGAGGAAATAAAGCTTATTCAAGCACCCAGAAGAAATCCATTCTGCCTGAATAAATGGACAACTCAACTTGCAATGTTAGACGTCAGGGCAGGCCACACGGTGTGAGCAAGCCAAGAATCTCAGCTCTTCTAACTACAGCGTGTGTTTACTCAGGCCTGGCTGCGACGAGCTTCAACTGGACTTCGGGTAGATGGCAATGGCCCACGCCCTATCAGCTCCTACGGAATTGTAAAGTAGGGTGTTAGGAGTGGACCCTGGGCAGACAGGCACCCCTTCATTTGAAGCATCCTTTCTTCAGTACTCTTCAGTAGGTACCTGCCTCTTGTCAGCCCCGTGTTCCTTCTTTCGGGAGGAGAGCTGTGTCCAAGCTTGGGTCAGGTTTTACAAGATGATGAGCTCCCTGGTGGCCATCAGGATGATGGCAAAAGGGGTTAGCCTTAAAGACTGAGAGCCTTAAAGAGGCCTAAAGGAGGTGACTCTCAGCATCTGAGTTGGATGCGCTTGGTCATATGCCATGACCAGACTTCCACTCAGTCAAAGCCTCAACAATTTCTCTTTTATATAATAAAACATTAATAATCACCACCACAGGCCTCACCTGCCCCAGCCCTTGGACATGGAGGAGGTTTTCCACCCAAGGGACCCTGATAGGAAAAGCATGTCAGGAAGGGCATAATATAGATGTCTGTCACTCCACCCTCAAGCCAGCTCTGCTAGTGCTGATGGAGGGGCGGGGTGCCTCTCCAAGCCCTGCACTGAACACCCCAACAGGAGTGGCCCCCAGCAACTGGAAGTCCATTTCTCATGAAGCTACATCTTCCTGCAGGTGCTGTGTCAACTGTTTCCAGGCTGAGTGATCTTCAGGAATACCCAGAGAGGGCTGGCAATCTTAATTGTTTAAAGGAAAAGATGAATGCCCAGTTTACCATCTCTGGGGCATTTTGAGTGAGGTGAAAAGCAGGAAGGAGCCTGTAGAGGTCTGGAGAATGGAGGCCGTGCCCCTTGCTGCTCCCCACAGCTCCCAGGACAGAGCTGGACAGAGGGAGACTGCCTCAGCCTCCACGGGCCCACAGGCCCTGCTGTATCTACATCCGAGCTCTCCTTGTGAAACTTTCCCAGGAACAAACCAATGAAAAGTTTCCAGAAAGCCAGTGACAGCAGTGGGCTCCACATTCCTCTCCTGCATTCCACTTCTCCTTCAGTAGCTGGGCTGGGATTTATGAAGATGTGCAGATGCACAAAAGAAAAAAAAAGGTACCTTGCTGTGTTGTCTGTAACCGCTTCCCTTGCTCTCGAGTCCCAAGCCTGTGATGGAGAAACCTTGATTTTGCCAGTTGAGACTGCTCAGTGCTTGCCAGGTGAGACCTCGGCTTCTTGCTAGGCTTCTGCTCCATCTTCCAGGATCTTCCCCTCCTCCTTCCCATGATGGAATCTGTGGTAAAGGGGTCATTGAGGTACCGGGGGTGGGGAAATGTTGCCTAAGGCTCCCAATGACCTCCAGTTAGGGTGTAACCCACCCCATGGGATGCCAGATGACAGCCCTGCCCCTTTTCTGTCCTGTAAGGAGAAGCGTGGCTGTCAGGTCTGTGGACACCCTGCTCTGGCACCCACTGGTCTGTGCAGCATTGTCCCGTACTCACTGGGTCTGGTTCCAGGGTCCCACACCATGTGGCCTCCTCTGTCCTTATTTTAGTCACATTTGAAAAGATCTCTCTGCCACCTAAGTTACCATATTCACTGATTTCAGAGATTAGGATGTGGACATCTCCTAGAGCGGTGGAGATTATTCTGTTCACAGTGAGCATGTCAGAGACACGTGAACCAGAACAACTCCATCTTGAATAGGAGCTGGGTAAAATGAGGCTAAAACCTACTGGGCTACCTTCCAAGGAGGCTAAGGGCATTCTAAGTCACAGGATGAGATAGGAGGTCCGCAAGAGATGCACGTCATAAAGACCTTGCTGATAAAACAGGTTGCAGTAAAGAAGCAGCTAAAACCCACCAAAAACAAGATGGCGACGAGAGTGACCCACGGTCACCCTCACTGCTACACTCCCACCAGCGCATGACAGTTTACAAATGCCATGGCAACCTCAGGAAGTTACCCTATATGGTCTAAAAAGAGGAGGCATAAATAATCCACCCCTGTTTAGCATATCATCAAGAAATAACCATAAAAATGGGCAGCCAGCAGCCCTCGGGGCTGCTCTATGGAGAAGCCATTCTTCTATTCCTTTACTCTCTTAATAAACCTGCCTTCACTTTGCACAGCGCACAGGCCCTGAATTCTTTCTTGCACAAGATCTAAGAACCCTCTTGGGGTCTGGATCGGGACCCCTTTCCTGTAACAAGGAGATATGAGGAATCTTGGCTGGGGGTGTTGGGGAAGGCTCTGAGCCTGTTACCACCGTGAATGAGCAAACATTCTGAGCATCGTACAGTATTTAGCTTGGACTGCTGAAGCGGAGACCCAAGGTACCGAATCCTTGCCTAGATGGAACTGCAATTCCCTCTCAGGTAAACAGCAGGGGCAAACCGCGCGGGGCTGGGCGGCAGCCTCACAGCATCGCGGGCCAGGCCCCTTCTGTCCTCTTGCTGTGCTCTTACTGCGTTTCCCTCGCCTGCACAGAGCAAGGGGGCCCTCTGTCTGCCCAAATTCCAGCCAGCCTGCAGGGGCGGAAGTGTGTGTTTACGCTTTAAAGGCAGGAGGGGAAGTTAATCCTATAGATCCCCTCCCATTCCCACTGGTACACTTGGCCACACCTCGCTGCAAAGAAGGCAGAGAAATGCAGTTCTCATTCTCAGTGTCCGTGAGCATGGTTAAAAGTTCTGTGGCTATGTAGAAAGGAATGAACAAGGGCAAGTGTCTTCCACCGGCACCTTGTAACTACACAGCACATGGCTGCATTGCTAGGATACGCAGCGAGGGAGTCCCTGCCTTTGAGGAGCACTCAGACCACCAGGGGATAGTTTGTTGTCACGGGTGCCCATGCAGCATGCCATGGGAACCCTAAGGCTGGGAAACTGGCCAGTCCTGATGGAGGAGACCAAGGGTCACAGTAGGTGTCCTAGGGAATGCGGCATCTAGGCAGTCTCCAGGAGTCACCGGTCCTCCCTTGTCCTCTATGTCTCATAGGCCTGTAACTCAATGTCCCCAGTGTCCCCACCCCACTCTCTCTCTCTCCACCCGGAAGCACTCTGGCCCATGGCCACCTCTAGAGACTGTTCTGAGTCAAAAGAAGCCCTTCTCTGAGTGTGCGCATACGTGTGGACATTCTTGGAACTCTTAGAACCCACCCCACCTCTCAACAAACAAACCATACACCCCTAAAGAAGCTGGTTTTGGCCGGGTGCAGTGGCTCACACCTGTAATCCCAGCACTTTGGGAGGCCGAGGCAGGAGGATCACTTGAGGTCAGGAGTTCGAGGCCAGCCTTGCCAACATGGGGAACCTTGTCTCTACTAAAAATACAAAATTAGATGGGTGTGGTGGCGCCCACCTGTAATTCCAGCTATTCAGGAGGCTGAGGCAGGAGAATCACTTGAACCTGGGAGGCAGAGGTTGCAGGCAGTGAGCCGAGATCACACCACTGCCCTTCAGCCTGGGCAACAGAGTGAGACGAGCACCTTTATTAAAGCTATTCAGTGAGCAAAACTTGCTTTCTTAAAGTACCACCCACTTTGAGGTCATCAAACTAGTAAGATCCATCTTTGCTACTCTGAAAATGGGATTCTTCTGCTGAAATTAGCCAAGTACGTAGTGCCCGCACTTTTGCATACACACATACACACACACACACACACACACACACTTGTGCCCAAACAGACAGTTTTTCACAAATGAGGATGCAGATGAGAGACTCAAGGACAGGCCTTACTTGCTCTCTGTCAGTTTACAAGAGAATTTATTCCACAAATGCATCCATGAATATTTAGCAAGGCAACAATAACATTCAATGACACCCATGAGATACACAACTCAGAGAGCCCTCTCCCAAGAACGTACACAATGCTTGATGTCAACGTTTTAACTGGACTGAACGCTTGAAATGCAAGCATTAGCTTACAATAATCCTCCCCCGCCCCCTCTCCGTCTCTGTCCCTTTCTCTCTCTTTTTATTTGCATACACAGACACCCCTCCCATTTTTGATCCAAGCTGCCAAGCAAACTCTTCAATGGAGTAGGCTCGGTGGGGCGTGTAGAGAGCTACCAAAGGTTTAAGTAGAGCTAATGGCACAAATGAATTTTCAGACATGCCACTCTTTCTTCTTCCTCAAGAGAAACAAAACAAAATGGAAAAAAACTCACACGTATTAGGCAAAGCCATTCTGGGATTGGCTAACGAGGTTTCGCGTTCAGTAACTCTGCGAACTTTTGACAAGCCCCTGTGGAAGGCTGAACAGTAGCCCCCAGAGACCTCAGCGTCTGAGATACAGCAGTTCCAGGTCCCCATCCCTGGAAACTGTGTATGTTACCCTACGTGACAAAGGGACTTTGCAGGTGTGATTAAGTTAAGAATCTTAAGATGAGGGGATGATCTTGGATTACCCAGGTGGGCCCTAAATGTAACCATGAGAGTCCTTTTAAAACGAAGAGGGAGGCTTGGCTGTGAGAGAGAGAGAAGGCCAAAGGCCGAATGCTGATGGAAGCAGTGGTGCATTCGAGCAAAAGGCCATGAGCCAAGGATTGTAGGTGCCCACCAGAAATTGAAACAGGCAAGGAAACAGATTTTCCTCCAGAGCCTCAGGAGGAACTGACCCCACAACACCTTGACTTTGGCCCACTGAGATCAATTTGGGACTAAATTTCTTACAGTTCTGGCCTCTAGAACTGTAAGAAAATAAATTTTGTTCTTTTTTTTTTTTTGAGATGGAGTTTCGCTCTTGTTACCCAGGCTGGAGTGCAATGGCACGATCTCAGCTCACTGCAACCTCTGCCTCCTGGGTTCAGGCAATTCTCCTGCCTCAGTCTCCCAAGTAGCTGGGATTACAGGCACCTGCCACCACGCCCAGCTAATTTTTGTTCTTTTAGTAGAGGTGTGGTTTCCTCATGTTGGCCAGGCTGGTCTTGAACTTCTGACCTCAGGTGATCCGCCCACCTCAGCCTCCCAAAGTGCTGGGATTACAGGTTTGAGCCACCATGCCCAGCCAATGACTATTTTTAAAATAATGTCACTTTGCCCATTGTTTCCCCAGACAGTAGGGCCCAGGAAGGTAGGAACCCACTCCAGTGAAGAGCTCTGCATCTGAGATACAGCAGTGTCCCGAACGCACTGTGTGATCACTGAACGAATGACCTCTGCTAACATTTTGGCCTATTTCTTTCCAGTCTTTTTCTTATGCATAATGCATATTTTTATGATTGCAACTGTTCAAGGACCGTGTATTTTTGCCCCCCTTTCCTCACTTAGTATTTTATTCTGAGTATGTTCTAAAGTCATTAAATAGTCTTCAGAACTTTATTTCAATGGCAGACTAATAGTCCATACTATAGATGTTTCTTTGTTCGGTTACAATCTCTTTTTTCCCTTTTTTTCTGTTATAAATAATTCAGTAATGAACATCTTGGTGCATAAATCTTTATCCACATTTCTGATTATTTTCTTGGGGTCAATTCTTAGGAGGGATATTAGAGAAACAAGCCACGTCATCATGTTTAAGACTCAGAAACAAACCACATCACCATGTTTAAGACTCAGGGTAGTGATCAGTGCATGCATTTAAATCAGCTCTGTTATCAAGAAGGGAACCTCAGGGATGTAGGACTGTAGTGTACACAATTGCATGGAGAAGCTAATCTGCTCGGTTTTCATTTAAGCAGAGACCACTGGCTGGGTGATAGGAGACCTGAACTCTGGTCTGAGATTTGCCATTTCCTTGTCACATTGAACTGGATGTCTTCATATTTCAAACGGGAAGCCCAGATGATAATGTTAAGCTCTATCAAGAAAATTCTAGTGGCTGGGCAAGGTGGTTCACACCTATAATCTCAGCACTTTGGGAGGCTGAGGCAGGAGGATCACTTGAAGCCAGGAGTTTGAAACCAGCCTGAGCAACAGAGTGAGACCCTGTCTCTATTTTTTTTAATTAGCCAGGTGCGGTGATGCAAGCTTGTAGTCCCAGCGGGAGCCTGAGACGTTCAAGGAGGATCACTTGAGTGCGAGAAGTTGAAGCAGCAGTGAGCCATGATCATGCCACAGCACTTCAGCCTGGGTGACAGAGTGAGACGCTGTCTTCAAAAACAGTAAAAATGAAAGAAAGAAAACTATAGCAACTCCTTTTGGAGACCATTACTAAAGAGGAAAAGCCAATGAAAATTAGGAGCAATTCATGCCCGATAATCAAATGTTGATCTTAAAAGTCCAAGCCACGAGATTTGTAAATTAAACCATGATAAGAAGCTTTCTGCTGCTCTCCTCTCTGTACGGACACAGCAGCTGTAGTACCTATATGTTTGCTGAACAATGACTGAAATAACTTAAAGAATGTGCAAAGCCTTCCTCTCAGTGGACTAAATGAAGCACAGTTGACCCCACCCCCACCCACAGTCAACAGTCTGTGGATAACTTTTGACTCTCCCAAAATGTAACTACTAATAGCCTACTGTGGACTGCAAGCCTACTGATAATGTAAACAGTGAATTAACACATATTTCATATGTTATTTGTTGTATCATAAACTGTAGTCTTACAACAAAGTAAGCTAGAGAAAAGAAAGTTATTAAGAAAATCATAAGGAAGGCTTCTCCTACCACCGCTGCCACCACTGCCGCTAATCCCACCACCACTGCCACCACTGCCACTAATCCCACCACCACTGCCACCACTGCCACTAATCCCACCACCACTGCCACCGCTGCCGCTAATCCCACCACCACTGCCACCACTGCCGCTAATCCCAACACTGCCACTAATCCCACCACCACTGCCACCACTGCCACTAATCCCACCACCACTGCCACCACTGCCACTAATCCCACCACCACTGCCACCGCTGCCGCTAATCCCAACACTGCCGCTAATCCCACCAACACTGCCACCACTGCCGCTAATCCCACCAACACTGCCACTAATCCCAACAACACTGCCACTAATCCCACCAACACTGCCACTAATCCCAACAACACTGCCACCGCTGCCAACACTGCTGCTCCCACAACCATGACCATCACTGCTACTCCTGCATAGCTTGATGCTAGAGTCTATGGAGAAATATGAGATGGATAAAATTCAAATCTAGGGAAAGAAGGCCTTTGCTTAATTATGGTGCTAGCAGAACAAAGCAATAATGGCCTCCACTACCACTGCTTCTACCACCACCACGACCACCACTGCTGTCCCATCACCACGACCACCACTGCTGTCCCACCACCACGACCACCACTGCTGTCCCGTCACCACGACCACCACTGCTGTCCCACCATTGCAACCACCACTGCTGTCCCACCACTGCAACCACCACTGCTGCCACTGTTATTGCTACCACTACCACACTGCTGCTACGATCTCCACTACCACCATGGTTACCACTGGTATTACTACCATGAGCACAACTGTTGCTACTCCCACATGACCACCACTGCGGCTGTTCCCACCACCACGACCACCATTACTACCACTATCACCAAAACAACTCCTACTACTCTCACTCACACCACCTTCACTGTGCTGCCACTGCGGCTCCTGTCAGCACTGCTGATGCCACCACTGCTACCACAGTCACGGCTCCTTCCATTATGATTGCTCATGCCTGTAATCTCAGCACTTTGGGAGGCTGAGATGGGTGGATCCCCTGAGGTCGGGAGTTCGAGACAGCCTGACCAACATGGAGAAACTTTGTCTCTACTAAAAATACAAAAAAAATTAGCCAGGCATGGTGGTGCATGTCTGTAATCCCAGATACTTGGGAGGATGAGGCGGGAGAATCGTTTGTACCTGGGAGGCGGAGGTTGCGGTGAGCTGAGATCGTGCCATTGCACTCCAGCCTGAGCAACAAGAGCCAAACTCCGTCTCAAAAAGAAAATCATTAAGAGAAAATCGATTTGTTATTCATTAAGTGGAAGTGGGTCATCGTAAAGGGCTTCAGCCTTGTTCTTTCATGTTGCATAGGCTGAGGAGGAGGAGGAGAGGGCTTGCTGTCTCGGGGGTGGCAAAGGTGGGAGAGAATCCACACAGAAGTGGACCTGTGCAGTTCAAACCCGTTTTGTCTAAGGGTCAACTGTAGTTGGCCTGACTTACCAGATGTGGCAAATTCCACGTATGCAGAATGAGAAGAAGCAAAAGGTGGGCCGAGCGTGGAGGCTCACGCCTGTAATCCCAGCACTTTGGGAGGCTGAGGCAGGTGGATCGCTTGACTCCAGGAGTTCAAGACCAGCCTGGGCAACAGAGTGAGACCTCATCTCGACAAAAAATACAAAAATTAGCCAGGCATGATAGCATGTGCCTCTAGTCACAGCTATGAGAGGCAAAAGCGGGAGGATCACTTGATCCAGGAGGCAGAGGTTGCAGTGAGCTGAGATCGCACCACTGCACTCCAGTGAGACCCCGTCTCAAAAGAAAAAAAGAAGAAATAAAAGGTCATTTGTAGAAATATGATTGATATTACTATATTCCAATGCTTGGAAAAGTGTAATCCATGTCTGACCATGACTCTATTGGCCAGTGTTCTTCCAGCCTACTTTGTGCTTCCAAGCAAGGCACCTTGACCACTTTAGACAGCACCTGTTCCACAGCTCTTCTGGAAATTAGGCACTTGCTCACTCATTCATTCTTTTATTCATTCATTCAGTCAGTAAGTCAATAAACATTTGGTGGAAAGCTGTGCCAGGCCCTTTGAATAGAACATGGTCTTCCTGGCATAGTGAGGGGACCACAGAAATCCCAGCTCTGCTTCAAAGTGGCCACGTTTTCTGAGAAAATGTGCCTCTCCTTTCAGCCTCCTGTTCCTCCCCTCTGAAGAGGGACCATTAATACTTCATTTGGTCCTGTTAAAAAGCATAAATCAAGGTGCATAATTTGTGGCACAGAGCCTAGTACCGAGGGCACAGTAAATGTCAGGTCCTCCACCCTGACCTGGAAACACTCACAGCTTGATGAGCAAGACAGAAATACAGAAGGTTATTTCAGTCTAACAGAGGTTTTCACCAAATTCTGTATAAGAGTAGAGACAGAAACCAATCACTCTGGTGTTCCTAGATGCAAGAAGGGGACTGTTTCAAGTGTGCTGGGAGAAAGGTGAAGAGTTTGCAAGCCCCCAGTGCTACCCTTCGGAGCCAAATGTTTAGAATCAGCCCACAAGGATCCAGGCTGATGGGTGTTTATTTAGACACACACGCCAACAGCCTGTAATGTGCCCAGAAGAGGGAAGGGGGCCAGCGGGATGGATAGATTTTATGTGCAAGAAAGAATTGCGGCTGTGAAATGTGAAGTGAAAGATGCCTCATTTTCGAATTAGGCTACGGGAAGAGAGGAAATGTAATTCTCCCAAAAGCTAGAGAAGTGGGCCAAGTTGGGCTGCAGAGAGGATTTCTGCATTTGGAAGACAATCTAATTTGGTGGGTTTGGGTTTTGGGGCAGGCAGCCTGGGTTTGTGCCTCAACTCTGCCATTTACTGAGCTCATGTGGCCAGGCAAGCTCTGTTTCCTAGAAAGTTCCATTCTATGCCAGATAGGGATGAATCCGGGGCACAGGTCAGGTTGGTGTGAGCATGGATGGGGTGCTGCTGTGAGAACACCTTACACAGTGCCCAGCCAGAAGCAATGTTACTGTTTATTATAACAATAATAAATGTTAGTTCTTGTTATTATCAAGCAGGAGGCTGCTTGGGATGCTTCTAGCTAAATGTCCCAGAGTGTTCTCTGTATATTCTTTCCACCACAGTTATGGAGGGTTACGGGAAAACTCTAAAAAAAAAAAAAAAAAAAGGGAGACAGGAGTGCATTTTCACCTGGTGTGGGTGAACCAGCATCTACGGCTGGCACTTCTGATCGGCCAGTAACCCGCCCTTCTCTTTGATCTGTTTATTCTCATCCCCAGGTGGGAGAGTGTCTTAGGATCCAGAGTCAACAAAAATTTTCTAAGCGATCCTCTGTTCTAGGCACTGCACTGCGGGCATC